ACACACACACACACACACACACACACACAGGCATACACTCCAGCAACAACAACAAACCCAAATAAAGTCCCAGAAGTAGAGAGATATCTCGGTGGTTATAAAAGCACATGCTGTTCTTTCAGAAGACCTAATCTCTCCCCTGTCCAGTGATCTATTTTGCACTCTTTGAGAGTGTTTAAAGGCTGCTAACTAGTCCATTGGAACTTTTTTTTTTCTGTGGTCTGGTGAATCTGGGAACTGCCTTGCTAATATAAATACACATATACATTAAAAAATAAACATATACACATATATACGCATATATACATATATACACACATATATATGAATATATATGTATATATGTTTATTTTTTAAATGCCCATGAGCTGAAGGAATCTCTAAGATGGGAGGCAATGTAGTTGATCATGTAAGTTTTTGTTGAGAAAACACTATCATTATCCTGCTCAGAATTCACACTGAGAAATAATGACATAAGGGGAAAATGTGCTTAGAGCTTCTGGCAGCGTCCATGGCCTTACTCAACACACCCTCACAGTCACATTTTCCCCACTTCCCAAAACCAGCTTCCTTCCTTGCCTTTTCCATCTCAATGCCCAGTGACTGAGTTTCCCATCTGTGGCCCTGTCTCGTCTTCTCCAATAAGCAGCACTGAGACTGTCTGATAATAATCTTTGGTCACGTATAGGTATCTTAAGAACTTGCGGCTGTCTAAGTGATAGTACGCATCTGGCCCAGTTTGAACGGCTGTCTCCTGAACAATGCTGGGGTATCGTGTAGCTGAGGCTGAACTGGAACTCCTGGTCATCTTGCCTCCATCTCCCAGGTGCTGGCATTACAGGTGTGTACCACCAGGCCTGCCAATCTATCCCTTTGTCCTGGCAGAGAAAGTACTGGAAATGTCATTGTATTCATTTTCTATTGTCAGGAGCTTGGTGATTTAAATCAAGTCAGCGTTGGGCTAAAATCAAGGACGGTGTAGAAAGGGCCGTGTTTCTTCTTTGGGAAGAATCTCTTTGGGTTCCTTTCTCAGTTTCTAGAAGCCTCTGGATCCTCAGACTCCTGGTTACTTCCCTCCATCTTCAAAGCCAGCAGGGACCAGTTGAGGATTCAATCTCTTCTCCTCTGTTCGTCTCCCTCTTTCCTCCTCTTACCTCCCGCTCCCTCCCTCCCTCTCTTCTTGACAAGGTCTTCTGTAGCCCAGATGACCTTGAACTCCTGATCCTCTTATCTCAAGTGCTGGAATTATAGGCATGTGACTGTGCACATGACTCCCGAGGAAGATACCAAGGGAAAACGATGGGGACTTTAGGAGGCAGAAGAAGCGCCATTCTAGAGTCTGAAGTCTTTCTGCCCAGTCAATGGCGAGCAATTCCAATGCAACTAACATTTGCTGTGAAGGGTGTCAATGTAGGAGACGACATTCTTTATTATTATCGTCGAGAGAATGTAGATTTATTAAGAGCAAGACTGAAAGAGAAAGTAAGAAAGAATCCTGACTCCTTAAAAAATTTTCACGCCGCTGCCGCCTTTGAAACATATATCCCAGACTGGCCTAGAACTTGCAACCCTCCTGCTTCTACCCCATGAGTGCTGGGGTGACAGGTGTTGTGCCACCATCCCCAGCTGTAGGAATGGCCTTGTTTGGTTTTGTTTTTCGTGTTTTGTAACCCTGGCTAGTTGGAACTCACTATGGAGACCAGGCTGGCCTTGAACTCACATTTACCTTTGCCTTCCAAATGGGATTAAAAACGTGCAACCACACCTGACCTAGTGATGGCATTTAAAACATCATATTTACATGGAGAATGTTAAAAGAGCAATGAACTAATAAGGACTAAGTTTTTATGATCGTCAAGTATGGTCTGACTCTTCTCCCAGATATTTCCTCTGAACCTCACAAACAAGATTAGACCTTTGTTTACAGTAAAAACATCTTAAATTCCCCTGCAAGCCTCCTTGTGACCCAGAATTTTACCTATCAGTTAGGTTCCTATTCATCAAGTAGGAGCCATCTGGGGTCTCAGATTCCTCAGTACCTCCTTGAAGATGATAGATTTGAAACCCTTGGGGCACATGGCACCTATAAAGACAAGGCAGGACTCTCTGACAAGCTCATACTCTTGGTCATGTCTTTCTGAGACCCTCACTTTCTCTTAACTATAGAACTTAGAATCTGTGTTAAAATCTCTTTTTAATAAATTCCGATTCTGTTGTACATTTTATCATCCTGAAAAGCGTTTCTGCAGCAAAGTCAAGAATCAGGTTCCCCCCGAATCCAGGTTCCTCTCCTCAGACAGCTGGTGGCAGCTTAGAGGAGTACCTCATCCCTGCAGACAGACAACCCCCTTCCCCACTTTGGAAGACACCAAGGATAACCCTGAGCCTGCTCAGATTATCAAAGATAATATCCCTGCTTAAGGTCAGTTGATTAGCAACTTGAATTCCATCTTGTAGGTTAAACTCTCTTTCCCCATGACCTAACATATATCTTCCAGGAATTATTAAGTGACTATCCCTCTGTGTGTATGAAGGGTGGGATGGGAGGGGGCAGAGAAGGACAGAAGCACCCGCCTGGGCTACAGAGTGACTTTCAAAGCCATCCTGGGTTACAGAGAGGAGTGAGATCACCTCAACAATAAGAACAAAACAGCCATGAGGAGATGCTATGGCAAATCTCTTAACACTGACATTCGCTAAGATGAAAACTGCCAGCCTCTTGTGTTAATTTTATTTAACCTGGCTTAGCTTGGAGGCCAGCAGATAGGACTCAAGATCTTGATGAATCTTTATGAGGAGGGTGTGCGAAGTTCTCTTAATGACATCTGGAGAGAGTGTGAGAGATTTCTGAAGAGATTGGTGGATGAGAAGTGCCTATCCTTAACTGAAGCTTAGGGTAGAAAATTCCAGCAATGGGAATCAAGTAACAAGCTTCCTCCACGGCTAAAAAAGAATTAAAAGTTTTTATTACCAGGTCTCCACGTAACAGACACTACTGAACTGGAGAGATTCGTTAGTGAAGTCTTCATAGGTAAATACTGTATGTCATTCAAACCAAGAGCAGATATAACAAAGTTATTCTATTATTTAATATGAATTTAGAAAATATGAGAACCAAAAGGCTAAAGAAACAGGTTCCACCGAGATTTGAACTCGGATCGCTGGATTCAGAGTCCAGAGTGCTAACCATTACACCATGGAACCGGCATGAAAGCCATTCTCTCTTCGGGTGTCTAATGCTGACAAAATCTCACCCCCCAACTGGAAACCAAACGCTGAAAGACTTATGCCTCGCTTCCCTGCGTGACTGAGGAGAGAACAAGCCGAAGACCCGGACCACTGTGGCCGGCTGGGCGTTTTAAGATTGTTTTCCCTGTAAGCTTGCCCATGCCGGAGGAGAACGCGTTCCACCGGACCCCGCTCAGGGGCGGGGCGCCGCCTCTCCGGAAGTACTTCCTGAGAGGGGCTGGGGCTTGGCGGAAGTGACGCAGGCCCAGGGCGGGGCTCTTCACCGGGTCCGGCAGCTGAAGCTCGGCGCTCGGGTTACCTCTGCAGCGACGCCCCCTGGTCCCGCCGCTGTCGCCGCCGCCTCTCCCGCCCCTCAGCTCCTCGGCCGCGCCATGGGCACCCGCGACGACGAGTACGACTACCTCTTTAAAGGTGAGCCCGTGGGCCGCCGAGTGCCCACGCGGGGCCCGGGGCACTCCCGGGGGACCCGCGCGAGGGCTTAGCCCTGCCCTGGACGGAGCCCGCCTCGGCGCTTCCTCCCTGCCGCCCCGTCGGGGGTCCCGCCGCTCGTCGCGGTTCCTGCGCCCCCGGGGCGGGCTGCCGGGCCGCGTCGCCCCTTGCCGATGGCTGCGTTCCTCACGACGGTGCAGTTTCTTCCCCGGGCATCTCGGGCCCCTCCTCTCGGATGCACGCTGCCGGCCTCACATCCCCCTCTGACAGGCCCCTGCCTCGGCTCCGCAACCCGTGTTGGGGCACCGACTCTCTGTTTTTTTTTGTTGTTGTTTGTGTTTTCCTTTTCTTTTCGTTTCCTTTCCCCTTCCTTCCGAGTGAGCCTTTCCTGGGCTTCGGCCAGATTCGCCCGTCCCAGGGTCCCCCACCCCCATCCCCGCAGACCTCGAGGTCAGCACCCGCGGACTGTCCTCTCCCTCCCCACAGACGGGCAACTCGGTGCCTTTCCATTTCACGGAATGATTAGTGCTCCGGTGCGACCTGGCCGGTGAGAGGGAGAGCAGGGGAGGGCAAGAGGGGCTGGCCATCACCCCCCCTGGCGTGCGTGCACTTGTCGCAGTGTCCAGGCAGGCAGATGACTTCCCACCTCGCCTTTTTAACCCCCTTCCTTCTCCTGTCCCTGCCCAGCTACCACCAGACCGGGATAGCTCCTTTACTTGTCTTTTGAGAAGGGGCTGCGGATGGGTGGTGGCTGTTATCCCTGCCAGACCTGAAGGCCCAGTTCCTGAACAGGAAAGGTTGTGCGCTGCACAAATACTGGCTAGCTTATCACTATGGACTGGTTGCTTCCTGCTGCAATACTGGGAGGATCCAACAGGAAGGGAAGCGCCCTGGTTGGTCACATACCTTTCCCAGTCAGTGGGAGAGAGGGTTCTAATGGTAGCGTGCTCTTTTAGTGGAATCAAGAATTTATTGCAAGGTAGGGGAAAATGTGAAGCGGGCGGACAGAACCCGGGAGGATGGGGGGAGCAGATAGCGAATTGCTTATTGGTTGAGTCCAGGAAAAAAAAAAAAAGCCGAAGTGAAAGGATACAGTTCTCAGTGAAAGGAGTACAGTGAACGCTTTTTTGTTCATGAATGCGCTCTCACTTTCATAGTCTTGCTCTGCTCCTGAATTAGAAGGGCAGCCATCAGTAGTGTGCTGAACAAAGATCATTACCAGAGAGGAAGAAGCCATTGCTATTAAAGCTTTACTGTGGAGGGTGGAGTTTCAAGAGTGTTCAGCATGGTGAGTGTTTCTGGCTTTGCCATTGGGTGCTAAGAGTGGCTGACTAGTGAAGCAGGAAACGTTTCTTTGGTGTTAATGGCGTTACCGAATACTTGACAAGTCTTTAGCTGCTGGTACACCCTTATCATTATTTACTCCTCCGAATATTCTGTTTCTAGGATAAGTACCTTAAGTGTCTACCCTTACTACCACATTGGAAAATAATTTACAGATAAGAAGGTACCAAACTTTAAAAATACGAATAGGAAAGCCTGGTGTGGTGGTACGCCTTTAAAATCCCAGCGTTCGGGAGGCAGAGGGAAGCTGATTGTGTGAGTTCCTGGCCAGCCTGGTCTACGTAGTGAATTCTAGGACAGTCAGAGTTACATAGTGAGACCCTGCCTCAAAAATTCAAAACAAATAGGATACCTAGAATGTTTGTTGAAGGCATCTGACATGATGTGAAATTACTTAAATCCCAGGAGACTCTGGGGTTTAGTCAGTCAAGGGAGGTTTATCTGTAAGTACTGCGTAATAGCAGTAAGTACCTAGCCTCTTTTGAAATTATTTCTCCTGTTTGACTTGAAATGTGAAGGTTGGTTATAGAAAGCTGTTTATTTTTCCTAAGAATGTTGATTTATCCTAGATTGGCTTAAAGGAATTTAAGTTTGATTTTGAGATTAGACCATCCTTTAAACAACAAGAAACCACTGGGGTTTATATTTGGTTTGTGACCTTGAAAAGTTAACTTTTTGAAATTTTTTTATTATTTGAGACTATAATATAATTAATCATCCCATTTCTCCCTGCTCAACTTTTTTGAGCCTCAGTTTCCCCAGTAAAGGAAATACTGTGATACTTTTTTTTTTGTTTGTTTTTTCGAGACAGGGTTTCTCTGTGTAGCCCTGGAGCCCATCCTGGAACTTGCTCTGTTGACCAGCTGGCCTCGAATTCACAGAGATCCGCCTGCCTCTGCCTCCCGAGTGCTGGGATTAAAGGCGTGTGCTACTACCGCCCGGCAAGAACATGTAAGTTTTAATAAAGAAGCACAGAACTAAGAAACTTTTGAGTTATTTTGTAGCTACGTGGGTTCTGGTTTTATCTTTTGTGCATTTTGCTGCATAAGACTGGGTGTTTAAAAAAAATGCTGCTGAGAAGAGTTTCCACTTTTTAGAAACTGCTACAGGATATGAGTCACTATTTTTTATTTCAACACTGATTACTTAGCCAATTTTTTACTTATACGATTATTTTTAAATGATTTTATTCCATAGAGATTTATTCACTAAGATGAACCCTAGCATTTCTACTTTAGAGAAGATCTAGCAGACTTGATAGTTAAGGAAATTGAAGTTTGCAACATTTAATGTGGAAGGGCATGTTTATTAGCATGGAATGGAGTAGTTTAAATGAGACTGTAATGTGGGCAGATAAGGACAATTCTAAATCATGTATTTGTTCTTGAAAATTATTACTATTATTATTTCAAAACAGGGTTTCTCTGTGTAGCTTTGCTTCTTTTCTGGATCTCACTCTGTAGCCCAGGCGGGCCTCAAATTCACAGAGATCCACCTGGCTCTGCCTCCCGAGTGTTGGGATTAAAGGTGTGCACCACCACCACCTGGCTGAAAATTAACTTTTACTTATGCTTTGCAGTGAGACTTAGGAAGTTCGTTTTCTTTGTTAAAAGCATGCTTATTTTTTTTTTTTTAAGTTCATCTTGTACATCCGCAGTGTGGGTAAGGTGCTGTGGGACACAAGTGAGGTGGTTGGACCCCAGCACAGTCAGTCAGTGGCACTGTCTGGAAGCAGCTGGGGGCGTAGTCTACCTCTCCCAGCTTTTTCCTCTGAGTCTCATTGGAGTCCAGGTGTCATGACTCCTCAGCTGATCATCAGTAGGACTATCCCTGTCTTGAATCTTGGTAACTTTTCTTTCACAACTTTTGGTTGAGCAACTCGGATTCTGATGAACTGGGAAAAACTTGTCTAGACTTCAGCATTATTGCTGCATTTTATTTAAAAGACTTGGTGCGGTTGGACTGGGAATGTGGTTGAGAGTAGAAATACTTCCAGGCTTTTTAAAACCAATGTGAAGATGGCTATTGATTTCAGTTGTTAAGTTTTAAAGTCAGTGTTCTATATGTGAGGTGAGGAGGTAAATAGGAAGTGAGCTTACGAAAGAATTATAAAATGTGGACTGAGCATGGAGGCTCATGTCTGTGATTCCAGGACTTGGGAGGCTGAGGCAGGGGGATAGCCATGATTTGAGATCAGTCTAGGCTACAGAATTAGATCTTGTCTCAGAAAATAACAAACAACAAAAACAATAAAAAATACCTAAATGTGGTTAGAGATAGGAACTTTAAATTAAATAATGGATAGTTAATATATATACTCTGCTTTTACAGTACTTAGCAGTCTGATATTTGTGGTATGTATAATATATGAAGCATGTATGTAAACAAATTAATGTTAGGTATTAGGTTGAGCTTCAGCAGATGAGGTTATCTAAGTTCTAGGGAGGCAATATATTGTTTTAGGAATTATATTGATAGTTGGTGTATAGATACTGTTATTTATCTTATAGTCATGTTGTTTAGTATGTACTCTATAGATTGCTAAAATTGTAGCATACTTAAATATATGTCCATTCAACATAAGATATTTTAGTTATGGTTGTACAAAATTACTGAAAATTCCTTTACATTTTTACTGCATTTATTCATTCATTCATTCATTCATTCATTTATATGCATGTTGGGGGTGTGTGCCACAGTGAGTGTGTGGAGGTCAGAAGTCTGTTTTCTCTTTCTGCCATCAGGGTTGAGAGCAAGTGCCTTTACCTGCTGAGCCATCTTGCTGGCCCAGAAATTGATTTCTTTAATTGTTGGCTATGAATATATAGTTTCCTACATTAAAAAAACAAAACAAAACAAGAGGCTGGTGATGGATAATTCAGTGGTAAATCATGTGCTTAGCATGAACCTTAGGTTTAGATCCCCAGCACCACTGGGGGGAAAATAAATTAAATGTTGTCATTTTAAAGAGAGAAAGTATTTTGACTAGAAATTGCTTGAGTTCACAAAGAAAGGTCCATAATTTTTTTTAAATCATAACCAGTGAATTCTCTTGTTAGATAATTCACTCCATCCATCCATCCATCCATCCATCCATCCATCCAGTGAGCATAAATAGATCACTCCTTGTTTTGATTTCTCATTTGGTTAGGAAATAGAAACATCTCTCCTTATATCACATTTTGATATCTTTTTTAAAATTCTCTCAAAACTGAAGTCTTTTGTCATTTCAAACATCCTTTTCCTTTGACAAAGTTACTAGTCTTGACTTTGGAGATCTTATCAGTAGCTAGTTGATATAACTATTTTATAGTGTTAGAGCATTTATGAATGGTGAGTTATTTACAAACTATTGCTACTTTTTAAATAATAAAATTAATTGGTTACATGAGGAGGTGGATTCTTCACTTAGTATGATATAATGATTTGATGTTGGTGAGATGGTAAATTTAGTCATTAGTTAAAAGTAGAGGTCAAAACATGAACCAGGGGCCTGCAGGTATGGCTCAGCAATTAGGAGCACTTGTTACTCTTGCAGAGAACCTAAGTTCAATTCCCAACACCCCATGGTGGTTCACACCATTCATAATCCCAGTTCCAGGTGACATGACAGGCATGCATGCAGGCGAAACATCTATATCCATAAAGTAGATAAGAAAGAAAAAGCAAAAAATGCAAGAAGGGCTAATATTTTAAAACAAAACAAAACATGAACTACTGCTGGAGCTTCTGTGGGAGGCATATATTGTATTTTTTTTTTTTTTGATATTGTTCCCTGCCAAAGGTGGTGTTAGCCAGATGCCTGCTTATATGTTCTCTTTGACTTTAAATTGTGACTAGCTCCTGAATTACTGCTTGAAATGGGAGTGTCTGTGAATTAATTAGATGTGTTCTAATCTTTGGTTTTTCCTTCTTCACTGTACATACCTCTAGTTATTGTTGATGCTAGTGTGGGACCAGAAGTGATTCAAAGGAAATTTCCTCAGCTGGTTATCCAGCCTCCTTTTAAAATGTGTGTGTGTGTGTGTGTGTGTTTTGGTGGTGTGTGGGCTCATGCCATGGTGTGTGTGTATAGAAATGCCTAAGACAGTTGAAGGAGTTGGTTCCCTCTTCTCCACTCTGTGGGTTCATGGGATTGAATTTAGGTCTTTAGGCTTGCTGAGCCATCCCCCAAGCCTAAGTTTCTGTACTCTGAGTGACTGAAGGATTGCTCTTTAGGAAAGGTGTTGGGAATTTTGGCTAAAGCCCAGGCTAGGTTCTTGGCTGGGACCCTAACTTCTACCCCACCCTACCATTAAGCCTCTTATACTAAGAAACAACAGTGAAGGTATCTTATTAATAGGGAGGCTCTATTAATGTAACAGAAATTCAGCTTCACATCTATCTACATCTACAGTGGTCAGTGGTGGATTTTGGAAACCAGCCTACTAACTAACCATTCTGTAACATTGAAAGTGCATTGTTTCTGTCTTCATGACCTTGACATTATTTTCCCTGGTATCCAGTAAAAGCATTTAATGTCTGTTTGCTAGGGCACCCTCTAATTGACTACAAATATAGAAATAACTTACTTCCCTTTGCTGCATGGAGTCACTGCTGCTGGGATTTCTTGCTGAATCAGCTGATAGAGGAAGCCAGAAAGATTTGCATTTGATAATGCACAGTTGTTGTAGGCCATCTACTTCTGTGACAAGAAAGGCTTTCTTACTCCTTTGGCTAGAGTGTAGTCAAGTCAGCCTTCTTTCTACACGCACCATCAAATCTCAGTCTTTTGAGTAAAGCATGGCTTATTATTTCCTGGCCTGAACCTTTTGTGTTGGTTTTCTAGTCTGATGTCTAAATCAGTCATCTAGTTTAGAAGCATTACTAGTCAACAGTTGAAATAAATACAGTGATCACTAAATTACCAACAAAAATTTTTGTGCAGGAAAAAATGTTGTCTAGCTCAGATTCTATAAACCTACAAACCCATTTTGATCTTTTTTGTTTTTTCGAGACAGGGTTTTTCTGTGTAGCCTTGGCTGTCCTGTAACTTTCTTTGTAGACCAGGTTGAACTTAGAGATCTACCTTCCTCTGCCTCCTGGGTGCTGAGATTAAAGGTGTGCACCACCATTGCCTCCCTATTTTGATCTTTAAACTCATATTTTAATACAACTTGTCTGAAGTTGGGCATGTTGGCACACACCTGTACTCTCAGCAAGAGGATTTTGTGAGTTCTAGACCAGTCTTGGTTCCAGAATGAGACCCTCTCTCCCTTTTTTTAAAATAATTAGTTTTTACTTTATGTACATTAGTGTTTTGCCTGTATGCATGTCTGTGAGGGTGTTGGATCTCCTGGAACAGGAGTTACAGACAGTTGTGAGCTGCCATGTAATGCTGGGAGTTGAACCTGAGTCCTCTGGAAGAGTGGTCCGTGCTCTTAACCACTGAGCTATCTCTCTAGCCAGCTTCTTTTCTTTCTTTCTTTCTTTCTTTCTTTCTTTCTTTCTTTCTTTCTTTCTTTCTTTCTTTCTTTCTTTCTTTCTTTCTTTCTTTCTTTCTTTCTTT